GGGGGTTTTGAGCCCCTCCTTGTGGGTTTCCATCTCTCCCTGTGGGTTTCCATCTCTCCCTGTGGGTTTCCATCCCTCCTTGGGGGTTTCCATCTCTCCTTGGGGGTTTCCATCCGTCCATGTGGCTTTCCATCCCTCCTTGGGGGTTTCCATCCCTCCATGTGGGTTTCCATCCCTCCTCACTCCAGATTTTCCCCACAGTCCTTCAGTCCTGGTGCTGCTGCTGAGCTGGGGGGGCTGCCGAGCCCAGGGGGGGCAGGGGGAGCACCCTGAGGTTCCCCAGGGCTGGGCTGGGGGGGGTTGCCGGGGACGAGAGGGGACCAACCCCGGTGCAGTTGGTTCCCTCCGTCCCTCAGACCAGCCAGGACATCTCCTGCGTGGTCTTTGCCATCTTCAACGTCATCTGGGCCACCCTGTTCCTGGAGGAGTGGAAGCGCCGGGGGGCCGAGTTCGCCTACAAGTGGGGGACCCTGGACACCCCCCCCGAGTCCATCGAGGAGCCCCGGCCCCAGTTCAGGGTGAGGGGAGGGGGAGCCCCTTCCCTGGGGGGTTCCCCAGGGCTCCCACCAGCACTGGGGTCCCAGAGGGCAGGGGGGGGTCACAGCTCGTTGTCCCCCCCCCCCAATCAGGGCGTTAAGAGGATCAGCCCCGTGACCAGCGCTGAGGAGTTTTATTACCCCCCCTGGAAGCGGCTGCTCTTCCAGTGCCTGGTCAGCCTGCCCGTCTGCCTCGCCTGCCTCACCCTCGTCTTCCTCCTCATGCTCGGCTGCTTCCAGCTCCAGGTGGGTCCTTGTCCTGCCCCTGCAGGGCTGCCCCTGCTCCGGGGTCACCCTGTCCCTGTCCTCACTGTGTCCCTGCTCCTAAACTCGACCCCGATCCTGCCCCAATCCTGAACCTGCCCCTGTCCCCACCCCTGACCCTGACCATGACCCTGGTTGTGTCCCTGGCCCTCAACCCCACCTTGTTCCTGTCCTTGATCCTGACTCTGTCCTTGATCCTAACTCTGTCCTTGTCTCCCTCCCTGTCTCCATCACTGATCCTAATCCTGACTCTGATCCTGTCCCTGCCTCCCACCCTGTCCCCCTCCCCATCCCTTTCCTTGCCCCTGTCCCTGTCCCCATCCCTTTCCTTGCCCCTTATCCTGTTCCTGCCCCTGTCCCATCCCTGTCCCTGATCCTGTCCCTGTCCCTGTCCCCATCCCTTTCCCTGCCCCTGATCCTGTCCCTGTCCCTGTCCCCGACCCCACAGGAGTTCGTGCTGAGCATCCAGGAGCTGCCCCGGATCATCCGTTTCCTGCCCAAGATCATCCTGGCCGTCATTGTCACCGCCTGTGACGAGCTCTACAAGAAGGTGGCCTACTGGCTCAATGACATGGGTGCGTGGGGGGGCCCAGGGGGGGGCTCCAGGCAGGGCTGGGAGCCGGGACCACCCCCCTGAGCCCCCCCTGAACCTCCCCCTTTGTGCCTTGCAGAGAACTACCGGCTGCAGAGCGCCT